TGGTGCCGCTGGTGGCCGAGCTGCGGGCCCCCGGGGAGCCACTCCAGCGGGAGCACTTCCAGGTGCTGGTGCGGATCCGGGCGGGCACCGAGAACGCGGCACCCAAGCCCAGCTTCGTGGCCATGCTCATGATGGAGGTGGACCAGTTCGTGCTGACCGCCCTGACGCCCGACATGCTGGCGGCTGAGGATGCCGAGTCGCCCGCCGACCTGCTGCTCTTCAATGTCACCTCACCTCTGGGCCCTGGGCAGGGCTGCTTGGTGAGCACGGATGACCGGAGCCTGCCTGTGACCACCTTCAGCCAGCGGGACGTGCAGGAGCTGCGCATCGCCTACCAGCCACCCTCTCAGGACTCAGAGCACGAGCGCCTCTTCGAGCTGGAGCTGGAGGTGCTGGACCCTGAGGGCGCTGCCTCGGAGCCCTTTGCCTTCATGATTGTGGTGAAGCCCATGAACACGCTGGCACCCGTCGTCACCCGCAACACAGGGCTGCTGCTCTATGAGGGGCAGTCACGGCCGCTGGCCGGGCCAGCCACCGAGCCCAGCCTGGTCATCAGCGATGAGGATGACCTGGAGCAGGTGCGGGTGAGCGTGGTGGCGGGGCTGAGGCATGGCCACCTTGTCCTGCTGGAGGAGCCCGGCATGGGTAAGCCCCAGGCTGCAGCTGCTGCACCTCGCAAGCACTTCACCGTGGGAGAGCTGGAGGCCAGAAGGATCATCTACCAGCATGACGGCAGTGAGTCACCACTCAGTGACAACCTGGTGCTGCGGCTGGAGGACAGCGGTGCCCGGCACCGTGTTGAGTTTCTTTTCCCCATCACCCTGGTGCCTGCTGATGACCAGCCACCCCTTCTTAATGCCAACACTGGATTGGACCTGGCGGAGGGCGACATGGTGCCCATCCCCACACGTGCCCTCAGCGCCACCGACATTGACTCGGACAATGCTGTGCTGCAGTTTGTACTGGAATCAGGCCCCTCTGCAGGGCAGCTGCTGCTCCGCCAGGATCAGCCACCCCCTGGCTGGGAGGAGGAGGGTGGGAGATCCCACTGGCAGAGGGTGCCAGGCCTGCTTGGGGGGCCCCCGGTATATGAAAGACCAGTGAATGAGTGGCTGCAGCAGGACATTGTGGAGGGCCATCTCTTCTACCGGCACCTCGGCTCCCACAGCCCCGGCCCTGGGGTGGTGCTGGATCAATTCACCTTTAGAGTGCAGGATGACAATGACCCACCCAACCGCTCTGGGCCACAGAGCTTTGTGATCCGGGTTCACCCGGTGGACCGGCTACCCCCAGAACTGTTTAGTGGCAGCAGCCTGCACCTAGTGGTGGCAGAGCAGCAGGTGACCCCACTGCGGAGGAAGCACCTGCGCTACACAGACCAGGACTCTGGGGACCGGGAGCTGCGCTATACTGTCACCCAGCCCCCCACCGACACTGACACCAACCACCCCCAGGGGGTCCGTCTGGGGTCCCTGGTGCTCACTGATGACCACTCAGTGGAGGTGACCCATTTCACCCAGGCCCAGATCAACCACCACAAGATTTCCTACCAGCCCCCGCAGGAGGAGCTGGGGGTGGCTCCCCGCCTGGCCCAGTTCCGATACATAGTGGAGGATGTGGCTGGTAATGCAGCTGAAGGCACTTTCACTATTTACCTGCAGCCTGTTGACAACCAGCCACCTGCAATCACCAACACTGGCTTCACTGTGCCTGAAGGAGGCAGTCATGTCCTGAGCCTAAATGAGCTGGATGCCAGGGACACGGACACTGAGCCCAACCATCTCCGGTTCATTCTGACCCAGGCTCCTTGGTACGGGCAGTTGCAGCTCTCTGGGCACAGATTGCCCATGGGAGCAACCTTTGGCCTTGAGGATATCAGACAAGGCAGGGTGGCTTATACACACAGTGGGGCAGAGTCCAGTGGTGATGTTTGCAGCCTGGACGTGAGCGATGGGGTCCATGCAGTCCCCATTGTGTTGAAGGTGACTGTACACCCTGTGGATGATGAGGTGCCCACTTTAAGACTACCCCCAGGCACCCTTGGTTCCTACCTGGATGTGTTGGAGAATGGTGCTGCTGAGATCACCACTAATGTCATCCAAGGCACGGATGAAGATACAGATGACTTGATGCTGACTTTCATTGTGGAGGATCCTCCTCAGCATGGGGACATCCTGGTTCATGGGGTGCCTGCAGAGAGGTTTTCCCAGAGGGAGGTGCTGGATGGGGCAGTGGTGTATGCTCACACTGGTGGTGAAATAGGACTGCTCCCCAAAGAAGATGCCTTCAACCTCACCCTATCCGACATGTCTGAGGAGTGGAGCATTGGGGGTAATATTGTTCAGGGGGTGTCAGTCCTGGTGACCATTCTCCCCGTTGACAGCCAAGCCCCAGAAATTTTTGTGGGGGAACATTTCATGGTGGTAGAGGGTGACAAAAGGGTTATTACATCCTCTCATCTAAGAACTGAGGATATGGACACTCCAACTGATGATATACTTTGCACCATTGTTGCTCAGCCCACCTCCGGTTATGTAGAGAACATCTCTCCAGCCCCGGGATCAGAAAAATCGAGAGCAGGTACAGCCATAAGTGCCTTCACTTTTAAAGACCTCAGACAAGGACATATTTATTATGTTCAAAGCATCCATAAGGGGGTGGAACCTATTGAAGACAGGTTCACTTTCCGCTGCTCTGATGGCATTAACTTTTCTGAAAGGCACTTCTTCCCCATTGTCATCATCCCAACCAATGATGAAGAACCCGAAATCTTTATGAGAGAGTTTGTTGTCATGGAAGGCATGAGCCTGGTTATTGATACTCCCATCCTCAATGCAGTAGACGGGGACATCCCTGCTGATGAGCTGACCTTCACTATCACCAGGTTTCCCAGTCATGGCCACATCTTGAACCAGCTGATCAATGGGACAGTCCTAGTGGAGAGCTTTACTCTGGATCAGATAACTGAGAGCTCCAGCATCATGTATGAACATGATGACTCTGAGACAAAGGAAGACAGTTTTGTGGTAAAACTCTCAGATGGTAAACATACTGCAGAGAAAACTGTGCTCATCCTGATTATTCCAGTAGATGATGAGACACCCAGAATGACCATCAATGATGGACTGGAAATTGAAATCAGGGAAACAAAAATTATTCACAACAGAATCCTGAAAGCTACTGATCTAGATTCTGAAGACAAAACTTTGACTTACATTATAAGGTATGGGCCAAGACAAGGGCTCTTACAAAGAATAAAGCCTTTGGGTGAGGTTCAGAATATCACACTGGGAATGAACTTTACCCAAGATGAAGTGGACAGAAACTTAATTCGGTATGTGCATTTTGGCCAAGAGGGTATTCGGGATCTCATCAAGTTTGATATAACAGATGGCATAAATCCTTTCATTGACCGCTACTTTTATGTGACCATTGGCAACACTGATATTGTCTTTCCAGATGTGATTAGCAAAGGGGTTTCCCTGAAGGAAGGGGGGAGAGTAACACTTACTACAGACTTGCTGAGCACCAGTGACTTGAACAGCCCAGATGAGAACTTGGTTTTCACTATTACCAGGCCACCTGTTCGTGGTCATCTTGAATGCACAGACCAGCCTAGTGTACGCATCACAACCTTTACTCAGCTTCAGTTGGCAGGCAATAAAATTTACTACATTCACACTTCAGAAGATGAGGTGAAAATGGATAGTTTTGAGTTTGAAGTAACCGATGGTTATAATCCAGTGTTTCGCACCTTCCGTATTTCCATTAGTGATGTGGACAACAAAAAGCCAGTGGTCACAATACATAATCTGGTAATGAGTGAAAATGAAAATAAGCTGATCACACCTTTTGAATTGACTGTGGAGGACAGAGATACACCTGATACGTTGCTAAAATTTATCATCACCCAAGTACCAGTTCATGGTCAGGTTATGTTCAATAACACCAAACCAGTCACATCCTTTAGCAAACAAGATCTGAATGAAAATCTTATCAGCTACAAGCATGACGGCACAGAGTCCACTGAAGATAGCTTCTCTTTCACAGTTACAGATGGCACCCACACTGACTTTTACGTCTTCCCCAACACTGTATTTGAAACAAGAAGACCCCAAACAATGAAAATTCAGATAATGTCTGTGGACAGTAGTGTACCTCAGGTTATAATAAACAAAGGAGCCCCAACTCTCCGTGTATTAGCTACTGGCCACTTGGGTTTTATGATTACCAACAAAGTGCTCAAAGTGGAAGACAGAGACAGCTTGCACGTTACCCTCAAGATCAGCATCACGGAGGCCCCTCGCCATGGCTTCCTGATTCACCTTGGAAAAGGCAACCATAGTATCAGTCAGTTCACACAAGGTATTTCTGTGCCCAGCACTCTTTGCAGATCACTGTAAACCTTTGTACAAGGATGAAGCACATGTAATTCTGTAGTAATTGATACCAGAAACACCTCAAGGGGTCACTTTACTGTATTCTGTTTAGAGAATCTCTGAAAGGAACATGAGTTTTTTCAGTTTCTTTTTTCTTTCCCTTCCATAAAAATCAGTTCTTGAGCTTTTACAATAACATGTACTTTCCACCTTTGAGAAATTCTAATTAAATCAGTTTATACTAAACAAAACAAACAAACAGAAGAACCATGGATTTAAGGGTTATGATATAGGGGGAGTGAAGGTGGGGGCTGACAGAAAAGGCTGAGGCTATAAGGGGAAAAGGACAGGAAAGGGTGGCAGGGTCACTATGGTGGGGAGGAGGTAGTACTGGAGGATGGCAGTATTAGATCCATAGTTAAGGGGGGATAGACATTTCTAAAAGGGGAGAAGAGGGAGGCAGACTTGGGAGGTGTCAAGTGGAGGAGAAAAAAGAGGGTCTGGATGGGGTGTCTGGAATAGAACTCTCACAGCAAGGTGATGTAGGAAAGTAGGCAGAGGCAGGGACTGAGACAGGTATGGTGGATGTCCTAGCAAGGACTTTAGCCCTGAAAAATTGGAAGAACTGTAAACAAGGGAAAGTGTAATCGAATACAAGAGGAAAGGTGATGCCACCCCTGCTTGGGGCAGAAGAGAGAAGGCCTAGTTACAGGAAGTCATAGGAGCATTAGTAATGTAAACATGGAAGTGGGAGCTACGGATGAAAGGACATTTCCCACACCTTTTTCTTTCACCTCAGATGCCCTCATCTTTTACTAGGTGTGGGAGAGGATGCAAATGCCAGGGAGCCACAAATTCTTAGCTGGACCTAGGAGGCTTCATCACTTTCAGCAGATGGTGAGAGAAGCCTACTTAATCCTTATTGAGTAAGCAACATGTGTGAAAATCTGGGCTCAGTTAACTGTTTTCTGCATCTTGCCTAGCTACTTCCACCAGTGTGAAGCGTGTCAAATATTATCCAATTCAGAATGGCAGTTTTACATCCTCCCCTCTGCACTGGTGCAAGTGACTATACAGAGTGCAGGGCAAGAGCAAGTAAAATCCTCTCTTCCTTTTGGTACCCTTTATATATTCAAAGTTTGCTGCCTTTCACATTCAGTCCTGTCAGTCAGAGGCTCCTGTTTGACTCCATGAGTCTTCTGTTACATTCTCTCTTTTGCTGTTTTTCTTATCCTTTGCCTGTTAAGGACCCTGTTTCTGCAGTGTGCATAACACCTGAATACCTTCTACATTCACTAACTTGGAAGGGCACTTCGAAAGCTTAGAGAGTTGCAAGAGGTGCTCAGTAGTTTGAAGTCTGCTTCTAATTCCTATATTCACTGAGGGTTACCATTCTTAGGACAGTTCTTAGGATGCTGTCTTTGTAGCTGTACTAAAAATAGAGACTGATTTTGAAAGAGAGAGTATCAGTGACTTGGGCTCTATTATGGCTATGGCTTTGGCAAATTGGCTTAATTGGTCAATTACAGCTGACAGTAATTTATTGCTTTATATTTGGGAAGGTTACTTCTTCAGTAGCTGTGAATACTTCACCAAGTGTTGGTAATAAAACCAGCCAAAAAACCTTTAATCAAGATAGGGAAGCGTAGGGTAACATGCTGCAAGTGCAGGCAGCTGCAATGCATCTTCCTATTCAGGTTGTCCCCTGCAGTAGAAGCATGGATTTGTAGGCATGGAATGAACCTCAAAGGCTAAGTCAACCCAGTTTCAACACAGAATGCAGGAAGATTCTTCCTTTGTTCAGGTTTAAAATGAGAACTGGTTTGGGGCTTGGCAGTCTGTACCAGATATTTCTGCTATGTTTACTTTAAGTAGAATTTTGCTCCCATTAATAGGTAGTAGTAATTCATTGGCATTACTTGCATGGATATAGTACTTGAGTTAAGTAACAGTGGCAGACTTGAACATTGTGAAAGTAAATCCTGAAATTTTGCTAACATTCACCTCTTTCACACTCTTTTCCTCCCTTTTATACTTAAAATATTACCATGGTCTGAAGAAGGAGAAAAAGGAGACAGGCTGTAAGGATGATGTAGTCTCCAAACAAGCCCAGCAGCCACTTAACGTTTGAAAAGTATCAGTTATTACTCCGGTTGTCTAAGCTTCAAAGCAGTTTCTTCATTGATTTTTCTCCATTTACATCTATATTACTGTAATAGTAAATGCAAAGAATGCATGAAGGGAAGCGCTTCACAGCTGGTAATTTCAAACTCCTAGTGTTATTTGGGACAAAAATATTTACAAAGAAATTTGCTTCTGTGTAATCGCACAGCGCTCATCTCTGCAAGTCAGGGCTGGTATTTGTTCATAGCAGATATTCATTAAGTTTAGAAAATGTTCCAAAACAGGGAAACTATTAATAAACTTCTAAGTCTAACTCCCAACATTAAGGAAAATAAAGTGTGTATACTATTTGATTAGCTAATGTTGGTGTAGTGTTTTGAGTGTAGAAATGCTGAGCATTGTTTTAGGGCTTACTATAACTGTTTTGGTTAAGTTTGATTATTAAGGGCTGGACAATGCCCCCACATCTCTGTTGTTATGCAGGGTGGTGAAAGAATTTAGTGTCTGCTATCATATTCTCTTTTGAAATCAGGTGTAGTTGTTAAGTCTTGTATTTCCTGGAAATCCTCTGCATCACGAGACGCCCCGAAGGGGCCACACAGCCAGGACCCAACCTTAATATACCACCCATAGTTGTAATGATTCCATAGGATTTTGGAGTATGCTGCAGGCCCTTCCCTGAGCCAATGCTTTTAAAGACATCTGAAGGAATTTGATACATTTATTTTAAATTGATAAGTGTACCTTAATGAGGAAAAGACGGTAACAATAGCCAAAATAATTTGGTATAAATTTAGCTCAACAATCAGATTTTTCATCTAGTGTTGCCAAAGAAAAAGTTATAGGACTGCAAATCATGCTAGAATTCCATAAACTGTCTAGAAAGTGTTTAGCTGTAGTACAAATGAAAGTATTATCAGTGCACTATGCTTGCAACTAAGCAAGTGTTAATGTATCCAAACGAGCTATGGAAAAATCACATAAAATAACTCGAGTAACTCTAAATGTGTGTTTAACAAGGGAAAGGAAAGGCATCCATCTGCTCTGCTCTTGTCAAAAATAAGGTTTTGTCTAATAGATGGTTTTTTAGGAGCTAATCCTGAAAACATTTACCCAGGTGCTTAGCTTTTTGCATGTTAGAGCCATTGGATTTAATAGAACTGCTCATGTGGAAAGTTTAGCATTAGAGTAAGTTTTTTGGAGGATGAGCGTTTTCATTTGTTTACTGCAATTTCATAGTGTTCATATGCAGCTTTTGTATTACCCCATAATTCTTTATGCTTGGCATTCTTTTAATTACTTACTAAAAGTAACTGTGTAATAACAAACACATCTTAATCACTCTCTTTATTTGCTTGCCCTAAAAGAAGCATGTCTGGTTTTAGGACTATAGCTTAGGGAGACAGGCAGGAGACCTCTAATGATAGAGTTTTGACATGCTTTCATCAATCAGTTTACATGCCTGGACTTGGAGAGAGACTTTTATTTTGGTATTTGAGCTCCACTGTAATACTATTACTTACTAAATCTTTGTCTAAAATGAGGTGCTCATGACATTATGCTCTGTACACTAGATGTAATGGAATTACATAAAAAGAGATATGTCCTTGCCACTGTCTTTAAGAGGGAAGTTTTTGTATCCTAGAAAATTCTTCTTGGTTCTACCCAAAGTTACAATGCCATATTAACTAATAACTGGTTTGTCTTTTGCTTTTTTCTCTGCTTCTATTTAGCTTTCTGTAATAGTGGCTCTAAGATTTGTTACCTAAATAGTTTAAATCTGCTGTTACTAAACTTTATTCTGTTTAAGCAAATTTTATCTGGCTGTATTTTTAAACAGTCTGCTCATATAGCATCTGATCACCTCTATTTTTTATTAGAGGCCATGTTTTGTAAAAAAATATGTCAGTACTGATAAGAAGGATGGTCTGGGAGTAGATCTGGGATATATCTGCCTTGCAGATTGCAGTGTAATAGAGAGCTATCTGATGGAGTTTCTAACAAGCTAGCTCAGACACAAGAAGCATGTCACTGTTGCAGTCCAGCACTGCATGTGGGCAAATTTTCTGTTTCTTGGTTCATGTAAAGCCTGCTCAGGTATCTCTATGCTATACTGCAGTCTGCAATGCAGACATGCCCTAGGTTTTAACTCCCTTATTAACTACAGCTTTCTTATATGACCTTGGGTAAGTCAGCATATTAGAATTACACATTACAGTGATGTTGACAGGATGTTGCTGCCAACCACCGCCCCCAACCTTCATCCCAGCTTCTATGATCTGACCCTGTTACTGGTGAAGCCCCCTGCCACTGACATGCTACCACCCTGCCCCCCCGCCTCCTGCTTCCTCAGCTGCATCTAGTGGGTGTGCATGCTAGTTCCAGCCCATGAGTCTTATGTTGCTGACCCAGTCCAAATGAGTTATTATTAGTATAAAGAACACTAGCAGAATCAGCTCTAGAAAGTGCAATGCAAGAAAGTGTGAAAAAAAACTGCATTTTCTTACCAGCATTTGTGATTTACATGTGAACAAATTTCATCTGGGTTCTCTTTACAAATACGTGGGAAAGGATTTTTAAAAAATAACTGTTTTCAAGGCATATGTTCTGTTGACACCAAAATTCTTTAACTTAAACATAACACCCGCAGAGTCTCCCTGTGCCTGATGAATGGTGTTTGTGCCTGAAAGCTTGTGAAGAACTTTTTTGCACCTATTTAGTTGGTCTAATAAAATATGTCACATCTACCCAAAGAACCTTGCTTGACTTTAACAGATAACTTAGACCTCTGGTGGACAAAGCAATGATATTTGTCAAGTATTTACTGCTTTCTCTTGTTTCATTGTTGCCAACTCTCATGATTTTTGGCCTTGTTCTTAAGTCTCTTCTTTGGGAATGTGAAAAACTTAGCTCTTTCTTTTATATATATATATATATATATATATATATATATATATATTATTTATTAATATATTTATATATAAAAGAAAGAACTAAGTTTTTCACATTCCGGAAGCGTAGACTTTAAGAACAATGCCAAAAATCATGAGAGAGTTGGCAACACTGTTGTTTACATTTAAGGTAATAATGTATTTATCTTGGCATTTTTCAGCTGATGTAGATGACATGAAGATATGCTACATTTTAAGAGAAGGTGATAATGCAACAAGTGACATTTTCTACTTTTCTGTTGAAGATGGTGGTAAGTACTCCTACTCAATTACTTTTTTTTTTCGTGGACATAATCTCTCACGTGTTTTAGCTGACTTTCAGGATGCTCATATAAGCTATTACTCCACAGGCTTTTGGACTTTTCCAGGATTGTTAATTACTGTTACTGTGGTTGCAAAGCATAGTTTTGAAGGAAATGATAGCTATATTAGTGGAAAACATAAACAGCTTATTGTGGTAAAGTGTGGAATTCCCCACAAAAAGGCTCAAATACTTGAACTTCATATGTTTTTCTAGTGTACCCCTAGTCCAAGCACCAGACAAAAGGTTACAGCATAACCTCTCTTCAATTACCATTCCAGCTATAGTAGTGACTGCTCCTATTCAGAAGCTCCAGCAATGGCTGCTCCTGTTCAGAAACTTTGGTGATATTAAGAGTGATCAGTTACTGATGAATTTCAGTAGTTGAGAATTTCACAGGAGTTGGGAAGAGGGAAATATAGCTATTTAAAAAAAAAAATCTGACACACTTGGTCTTCAGTAAAAAAATAAAAGAATACCAGGACAAAAGAAATGTTAGTACAAACAAGGGAAAAATATGCGTGTAAATATGTCTAATTATATTTTTTTTTGTTGTTGTGCCTTGGGGCAGAGTGATAAACTATGTGATCTCTTAATGTCCCTTCCAAATCTTTATTCTGTGATTTTATGATTTTCTCCAGGGTTACATTTTAAGGAATGACCACAGTTATTCCCTAGCTTTAGGTGTCCCTGTGGCATATCAAATGACTGCTAGGTTATGTTGCTTTAACATATTTTCTCAATAAAAATAAATACATTGCTCTTTTGGGAAGCAACAATAAATTTTTAAGAAGAACAATACTTTCAGCTAGCCTGTGCTTAGTCCTTATGCTCCCCATCCCCTTGCACTTGGTCACAAGAAGCATCAGCCATAGACTAACCCATTGCAATAGTAGTTGTGAGCAGGGACTATTGAACTCCCCTTTCCCTTCCAAGCAAAACTGCCTGGGAGGAGCTGCCCATAGCCTTATGCCCATCCTTGCTAGCCCATGATTGGGGGCCAGTACACAAGGGGACATTCTGGGCTAGATTGGTGATGCAGAATATGCTTCCTTCCTACATGCCAGACAGCTGTGGAAGGGATGCAACCTCTTGAGGCACAAAGGCAGCTCTTAGCATTTGAAGCTACTTTTGGAAATTTTATTGCTAATCTCTAGTCTCCCAGGGACCAAGATAGGAGCTACTGATCTAGAACCTCAAGCTTATTTTTCCCACATATTTTAATTAAACTAGTACCTAAACCTGGGGAAAGTCAAATCTAAGAGAACAGTGCATGAAACCCTGCATTGTGCTTTATGTTTTCTCTATAATGCCATAGTTCTGTTACGACAAAAGTCACAAACTGGTGGTTTCACACAGAGTCCTCAAATCTGTTTTCTAGAACGAATATATAGGGTTGAGAAGGATTTCTATGTGTGACAGTAGCTTTATTACATAAGGTTTTTGGTTCAGAGATCGATGCAAGCAGAGGGTAGTTTGTTCTTAGTCTTTGTCTCTGATGCCAGTTCTTCAGGCAAAGTTGCTCCCTAAGAACTAAACATTGCTAGGGACTTCCAGGGTACTTGTTTTACTTACATATATATCTCCAAAGGCAGTGAAATAAGTCATGTTTAGAGTATGCCTGGACTCTTGTGCTATATATTTCTTTTCCACTGGTAAATGAACCGGCAACATATGTTGGTACTTGACAGAGGCACATCAATATTTACTTCATAAAAAATGTAATAATACAGTATTTTTCATGATAATGTGAAGAGTAGTTTTGCTGCCAAGCTAATCATTGTTTTTTTTTTTTGTTGAACCTTCAAGTTTTCTGAATTGGGCTGTGCCTCAGATCTATTATTGCTTTACATGGGCTTTAGTTACGTATAGCAATGTGTTTCCATGTTTGCTTAACCTGTGGAAAGATTGAGTTATACGTTGAAATAGTTTGTAAGAAATGCTTTGCTTAAAACAGTGAGCTTATATTTGGAAGGGATGAAATTGGGACTAAAACACTAAAGTCTGGAATAACAACTAAATCACACCAACAGGCTAGAATCTGTGGGAGTTTATACATGTGCTCTGGGAGTGGGGTAGGGGGTATTATAATCTGACCAGCTCCAAGAGCCAGTCTAATTAAAGCTCCCAGAGCATCACGTGTATCAGTATCCCGACGATGAAAAATGGCAGCAGGGGCACTTTAACTAAAGCTCATTGAGCAAGCTTTAGTTAAATGCCCCCACCACCATTTTCAGCATGGGGATGCTGATACACGTGACACTGGAGTCTGCAGGAGTGCTGTAGTTACCATGCTCTAGGAGACTCAGTTAATCGAGTCTGTTCCAAAGCGCTGTAATCAAAGTGTGTCAGAGCAGCCTCGCTGCACATGTATAGGCACCCTATAACTGCATATGAAAAAAAATCAGAAGCTTACTTTTCTAGCCTTCTCAGAGGGACATCAAAGCCAGGGTTGTGTAGCTCAGATAAATTTGAGAGAATGTGATTGGTGCATGGACAGTTCTTTGCATTTTAGGTTTGAAGCCAGCTCCTTGGGAAAGAACAAACAGAATATTTAGGAAGGAAAATTCAGCACAGAATACCAAAATCCACACAGAATTACATACTGTATGCTTCAGACTTCTCCTTCTGTTTCCCAAATTAGCATTGCCTGTTGAAATTTTTCAGAAATAAATGCAATTATGATGGTTGCAATTAGTCAGCTCCTATGGATATAAATTAAGTAATTCACTCTTCCCCTGGGAGCAGATTCTGAGGTGTTTGTTCTGGTTGATTTGTAGCAACATCTGTAAGTGGTTGTAAGTGTACAATTCAGTGGCAAGGTGTCAGAATGCAACTTAATGAATGGATGAATTCTGGTTCAAATACTCTGCTAATAGTTATATTACATAAGTGCAAAACTGTTCTGAACACATTTTTGGGTGTTTGTATTGCACTCAGGCCCATGCTAGGACAGGCCTTAGTTTGTCTCCTCAGCTCTCTTGTGCCTCAAAGATGCAGTGCCAGTCCTGGAACTCTTTTGGCAATATACAAGATTGTATATTCAGGACTCCATAATTCTGGACTTCATCATTCTCAAGCTACCTGTAATGTACTGTAAACTACTGTCTGTCTGGTGATATATGTTTTTGGTCTGTTGCCTGGCAGAAGGATGAAGAGTGTATTTCACTATCTCTTCTGTTGATATTTGATTTGCTTCCAGTCTGAGCAATGACATAAGGTGGAAGGTGTATTTCTTCAGAATCTGTTTTAAATAGCGTACTGATTCTACTGCCTGATTATGATGCTTTTACTCACATTGGACTCCTCAGCTAGTGTCTTTAACTTGAGTAAGAAGGAGGGTCTATAATGCTCTGCCCTGAAGCAGCTCTGGTAAGGAATTTTGACACAGAGAATTTCAGTTCCTCCTTTGTTCACTTTTTGCTCTGGAGGACAGTAAATTATTGCTGCCCTCGAAAGGGTGGAGTTTGTTTCTCTTTCTACACTTGGCCAGCTACTGTGGCTAGTGAGTGGGAGATGCAAGAGTAGAGAAGTGGAACCAAGGCTCTGCCTGTTCTCTTTGCCTTGCCTACTTATATGATCAGAGAGGAATACCAGAGAGCGGGGTCTATACTTCACATCAGATGTAAACCCAGGATCTGAGTAGTTCAAGTTTTGAGAAGACATACTGTGAGTGAAGAAAGACAGAAAGGCAGCTGAGCCAAGTAAACAGGACTTGGTAAATAGTTGGTGAAACCATTTAGTAATCTATTACTAAATATGAATAAGGATGATACAACATGGAATCAATCCCAGTATAATTACAAAGGAGTGCTGTAATACTTTAATTTAAAAGCTGCTTAATATATTATACTTCTGTAGTTCCTTGAAAATTTAACTAAGGTTTTAAATTCCCAAGAATGGCTTCCCTTCAATGTTGTTTACCTGTGTAGGTGTCACACTGAAAGATTTCTTGTGGTATTCTTTGTCAAGTAGCTTGTTTCATAAGAAAGTTATTTAAACATTTATTTTGTCTTTTTAAAATTGATATTCTCATTAAATATGATATTCTATTAAAGGCAGAGCCCAGTTGTGCTTACTGAATCTGAAGATTCTTTGTCTTGTAAGACAGCAATTTACTTTATAAGTTTGGTCTCTTACTCAAATTTCACTATACTTAGGATGGGAAATAACAGTATTTGAGTACCTACAGGTATGTGCTAATAGTATGTGTTGATGGTTATCACTCTTAAGTTTGATAATGGATTCAGTCTTCTGTTTGGGGTTAGGATCTGCTTACACATGCCCTCATGCTTGTGTGGAGACCCATTAACATTAATTGTCACATAAGCCCCATTAGGTGTATAACCTGCTTGATCTTGCTACAGAAACTGGTCGTAGCTTTGTGTGGCTGGCAAGAGAGCCACAGTTTTACTTTCTTCTTTTTACTTAGTTTCTTTGTACTGCTAAGTTGGAAAAAAAAAGAGAAGAATTTTGGAAAATTTTAGCTCCTACTATGTGAACATTTAAGAGTAGTTAATTTTGAAGGCTAAAATTATGAAATCCCTTGGTGTATTAGCAAGAAGTCCATTACCAGAAAATGAGAGAGAATTTATGAGATCTTTATAGGCAGAGATGGCAGTAGTTGAAAGAAATGGAAATCCAGGGTGATGGAACTGCTAGACTTGTTTATGATAGAGAAAGTCACACAGTGTTCAGAGACTCTTGTAATACATAGGTATATTTATTAGATTGAGGGCAAAGAGTCAGCCTTAACTGAAAATTTCTGAGCCTGTAATTGGTATAATAAAGTCACTTAATGTAATTTAAACATAGTATAATAAACTTGTGACAAGCTCTAATAAATACAATGACTTTGTACTAGTAAGAAGTCAAGGGAATGCTTTGCATAGTAGCTTCTGTGTATGTGTAGAGTTAGCATTTCAAATATTCAAAATGCTACCAATTTTT